AAAAAAAAAAGAACCCGAATTTGTGTGCTAATGATAGAAAAAGAATAAGGTAGGTTTATTTTCAAGAGAAAAATCAGCAGAACTTGATGACAGGTGGTAGGAAGGAGATAATACTTTATTAGCAGAATATGCTACCTGACTCAGAGAGAAAGGAGTTGAAGACAACCAAATTTTCAAGCTGGGGTGACTACTGGTTAGGTTTGGGGAAATATATTTATGTTGGTTTTAGACATTATCAGTGGGAGATGACCAAGGGACATCAAAGCAGAAATGTTCAGAAAGTTGCAGGGTGAAGCTGGAGCTCCAATGGGCCAAGAGCATAAAAGAGAAACTCAGAGGAAGTTGTTCACAGAACTGAGAACCAAAGGATCTGATACAATTCAGATGCTGTAGAGAGAAAGATTTACCTCACTTTATTTTTATTTTCTTTCATTTTTAAAGATTTTTTTTTAATTTTTAAGTATGCTCTGCACCCAATGTGGGGCTTGAACCCACAACCCCGAGATCAAGAGTCGCACGTTCCACCAACTGAGCTGAGCCAGCCAGGCACCTCACTTTAAAATAAGATATTCACAACAAGAGGATGGGTAGGGGGCACTGGTAATGACCAGCGCCCATATCTTTGATAGATGAAGAAACAGAAATCCAGAGAGGCAAAGTGATCTGCTCAAGGTCACACAGCAAGTCAGTGACAACACATTCTCACACCCATTTTTCCTGACTTGGAAGGTCCAGTTTTCTTTGCATTATAATTCAGAAACCTCCTGAATTTTCAGACATGCCTGCTTTACAGTGGACACTCAATACCATTTCCTGATAGTCAAGGCAGACAAATAAAAGGCAGGAATTTCATTTCCTTAGTTTATTAAAGATGACAATAAACTGTTGGGCTATGTATGAATTACAGCGAGTAGAAATCCAGTTCAGAACACGAGTTGTACACGAACAGAACATCTCTCTTTAGACTCTTGCTCCTTTTATGTTAATTCAACAAAAGCTCTAAAGCCTTGGCAGAGAAAGTCAACAACAGCCTCATTTAAGTGGAAAATATCTGCCTTCCACTCTTCTGCTATGTCTTGAACCTTGTCTCTACCTTGTAAGCAAACTTTTAACTTTTTTCCCTTTATTTATAAAAAAGAACACTTCTTCCCTCCCTTTTCATTCAGAAGGAAAGCTCTTCAGTGCATTCAAAGCTTTTCCCCACAACAGCAGGGGGTTTTTAGATACCGCTATAAGTTCCAAAGTGCTTTCAAACATCCCATACTCTTTCCTCTCTCTCCTTCCTCTCAAATAAATAAATAAGTGGGTATTTGGATAGTGATGACAGCAGAGTGTCAGGGTCACTAAAACAGATATGCAATCTAAGGAGATGGAATGGGGAAGGTAGAGAAAAATAAGTGAAAAACCAGGAGCACGTAAGATTGTTGAGCTCAACTTTGGAAACTGCCAGCATTTTCCATCCTTTGGTCCTCTGCTAATACGAAACAGGCAGGACAATAATGACAGTGCATCTCTCCTCCAGTGTAGCGACTTAAGAGTAAGGAGCTAGATGTATAATTTATACCAAAACTGGACACAGCTCACCATTTTTTTACAAACCCCTGAACCCGAATCGGAGGCCTAACCCTTAGTAAGACTTGAGTTGTGTGGGGCCAACGGAGGACAACGGAGCTCCTAGTTAGCCCCTCAAAACCGGGCTGGGCTGGAGGCCTTGGCTTTCAGAGCCTCCCCCACGAACTAAAGGGAGAACAGCCTCAGGGTCTTCCGGCCTGATCCTAAGTCTGAGGCAGAGAGACCAGCACCATGGGTCACTTCCTCCCTGCTCCCTCCGGCCCAGGTGAAGCCTCAGCTCTGGCCATTACTTTACTGCCCCTTCTACTTCCTGTGAGACTCCTGGTGGCCTCCAGCTCGGCCACTCATCAGCTTCCACTGACCATGTGCTACTTTCTGTTCAGCTTCTTGGGGCAGCGTCCACAGAAGTTTTTTCTACTAGCAACCAATTATGGAAACATAAGAAGTCAGTCCCAGAAAAAAAATGCTGTGGGCTCTTGTTCACAGAGCTGCCAGCCCTCAGAACAGCACCCCCGGCCAGTGTTCTAGGTAGGGGTCAGGGGCCACAGCAACGTAAAGAACACCACAAACATATTGACGGTCCCATCAAAATGCACATTTTAAGAAAAGGTATGTGTGTGTTAAAATTAGTAACATGAAAAGAAGGAACATATGGATATTACCAGGCTACAGAGTTCAGTGCGTTAATAGGCATAAAGGCTCTTGTTATCCCAAGAACACAGGAACATTCACACTCACACTCACACCCACAAATGGCCAAGTTCTCTAACCCCACTAATAGCAGAGATCTCCCTGCCCCCACCCTGACTTTAACAAAAGAAACTAAGGCAAGAGTTCAGCCACCAGGGAGGGTCCCAGCTATGTTACGGGAAGGGGATGAGAATGGAGTAGGCCCATAATTTCACTCAGAACCAAAATGACCATCTAACAGAGGACACAGTGGCAAGGGACCCACAAATCAGATAGCGGATGGAGTTTCTGTCTGCAGCTTAGGATGGCATCAGGAACTTGCCCGGGCTTGGAAGATCATACCTGCACCAGAGCTAGGTTGACTAAAGGAGACCTCATCGCGTAAGAGGAGGCCAACAACTCCTCCGATCGAATAAATGCCCTTGAAACAACAGAGTGGCAGCCTCACTGATGCTTGCTAGAAGGCTACGAAGGGGCCTGGCTTAAGTGTCAGTGCTGTTTCATTGCTTCAAGCCCACCACGGTAAAGAAAGTCAGTCTGTGACATCATCGACGCCTAGACTATTTCAAACAAGGAGGTCATGGTGGCCTCCTTGAGGTCTCTGAGGATTCCAGGTAAGAATGCTGTTTTTACGGCCTCAAAAATTACCTATGTAAGCTGGACAGAATGCCCACGATGTAGTCCCATTCCCTGCTGCTTCTCCTCCGGGCCCAGTCTGACTCTATTCCAAGGCAGAGGGAGAAAACTCCATCCTCCTATTTCAGCAGCAAAGGAGAAGTGAGTTGGCTGGGAAAGGCCTGACACAGAAGCTCCAGAACTAAAACAAAATGAAACTGGAAATGATACTTGAAATGCAGCTGAAACCAGATCTGGTCCAAGTACAGAAGGCCATGGATGTCAGAAGAATTGGGTCTCACCATCCATTCCCCTGGCAGAGGCACTAGAAGTTTCACATAAGGACTCATGTGTCAGTTCTGATGGAAATACCCGGTACCTACAAATTGTCACAACAGACTGGACCCCACCAACCTAATGAAGGTTGATTTACATGGACGTTAGACAAGTCATTAAAAAAATAATAATAAGGATAATAATTAAAGAAAAAAAAACAAGTGGGGAAAGTGCTTAAAAGGGTGGCTCAGTTCTGCATTACATGTGACCCTGGCCCCTGGAAAGAGGGCTTAATGTGCTTTCTTCAGGTGGCCTCCAGGACGGTGGCCTCTACGGCCAGGGCTTCCATGGGTTCCTCCTCGTAGTCTGACATGTAAGACTCCAGGCTCTGTTTGGCCAGCAATTCCCGCCGGGCCTGCAGCCGCTCACACCGGGGACAGCTTCCAGACTTGAAACAAGCTTTATGGTAACACGCTTTACACTCTATTCAGGTTGGGAAGAGAACAGAGAACAATCTGTATTATCTCAAGCTGGAAGTAAGTCACTGCCACAGCCCCTGCTCGCCACCAAGGCTTGGTGAGCCCGGGCTGAAAACAGGGAGTTGCTGAGTCAAACTCAACTCCTGTTAACAGGGAAGGCTGAGGGAAATAAATTAGCGTTGGCTTCAGTCTTGTTTGCCCACTCCACACTTGGCACCAGTTCTTACCTTCACAGGTCCGGCACTTATGCAGCTCAAAAGGAAAGATGATGTCATCCTCATTCTGACAGAACTCACAGATGAAGCCCTTGGCTTGGCAGAGCTGGGGAGGAAAGGGACAGGCAGCAAAATCAGGGGCAGCATACCAGGAACCAGCACCAGGGGATGAACACAAGTGAGGAAAGGAGCAAAATATAAATAAGACTTGAGTGGGCTCTCAGGGGTTCTCACGCCTTCTGGGAAGAGAGCCAGCTGGACTTGGGAGCATGAGAGCCAAACTGAGGCCAGGACTGGGCAGTGTGGGACAGAGCTTTAAGGGGGGTGCAAGAGAGTTTGAGAAACTCCAACCACAAGAGTGGTTTGCGATGCAGAGATGAAAAGGAAGGAATGGTGCCACGAAGGGCTTCCTAAAGTCAAAATTCCAGTGTGGGTGATGCTTCTATTTTGAAATAGGAACCACAGCCAATTAAGATAAAATGTGAAGACAAGGGTATTTCTCCAAAATAACACCCGGCCTTGAATGAGGTTAGAGCGAAGCCTTTCTGATCTCTACATATGCCCTGTTTTAAGCTCTAATTCTGGGATTGTCACAGGAACACAAACTGGGCATATTCTAAGATGCAAAATTCTAAAAATGGAACTTCTGAATTTCTGGCACATTGGGTTTATCAAGGACGATAATCACTTGCATCTATAGAACGAAGCTTACAAAATGCTTTCACATAAATTATTTCATCGATTCACAAAAATCCTGAGAGGAAAGGACAAGAAATTATCTTCGTTTTAGAGACAAGAAAATTGAGACTTACTGCAGAGAGGGCAAAGTATTTCCTTTGGTCACAGCAACTGAAAACAGTAAAGCAGAGACCCTCCCCAGATTCTAACTCAGGGTTCTTCTCGCACAGCCGGACAATTCTATAGTGAAGGTCTGCTCAGTCCTGCCCGGTACCCGGGGCCTATGCCAGCACCACATCCTCTTCAAATTCCAGGTTCTTCAGACCTGAATGATTTCGCCGTTCAGCAACCCAGGGAAGAGCAATCCTGCCCGGTTTGGGTCACAGTGCTGACAGACCATGTCAACTTCCTGGAACTGCACAGCAAGAACCCGGGTCCACCCCACTCTCCATATCCCTGAGCCCAGTCCCATGCTAAAGGGAGATCGTCTCACCATGCATCGCTCTACGTGGGTAGCCCCTGCCCTGGTGAGCTCAGCGAGCCGGGGCCCCAACTCCCCCTTCCTGGTTGCAGTCAAGTCATTCAGTGAGTACAGGTGGAGATCCTCGGTCAGGTGGCCTGGAACTGTGTCAAAGGAATCCAGAAGTCTACAGGAAGTGAGGGGAAGTAAGCAGGTGCAGAAAATGAACATTTTACGTGGCACATCAAAACAGAAGCATCTCTATCCGGAAGCAGGACAGGGAAGAGAAGGGTCCCAGGCAGAGGTAATGAGGGTGGGCAACACTCAGCCAGCCTAGGTGGTCCAGACCACCCCAGACCCTCCACACTACTAGGTGTCTGGAGAGGAGAAGTGACTTTTATGCCCTTCTGCACAGTGATTCATGCCAGCTTGCAAAGAGTGGGAGGTCTGCCCTGGGTAGAATAACCAGAGATTGCCCCTTCCGGACAGAAAGATACAGACACAGTTACTGCTGCAGGCTTTTCGTTTACCATTTCTGGAGTTTTCTGCAAATCTCTCTACTTTCCCTCTTCACATAATAAGGGACAACTGCTGGGGCATGTCTCTTCCAGAGACATAACCCAGCAAGAGGCCTCCGGCCTCCACACAAGACTTACTCTTTGGCCAGTCGGCATGTCTTGAACATGTTCTTCATGTGATACAGCTGGATCCGCAGCAGCTGAAGAGGAAGACGTTGTGATGGTTGAGTGGGGGGTAGTAAGAGCAGGTATGAAGAGGAGAGAAAAAACCATTAGAATGACCAGTACCCTTATACCGTGGGGGTCCAGAAGCTTTGCATGCAGCAGCCAGAGGCAAACTGTTCTCTACATCCGTAACTCAACAACTTGCTTTAAAATGACCTCCCGTCAAGAAGGGCCCCTCTGCTAGGCTGGGCTCCCCAATCACATACACAGCTGAGCGCCACTGAGAAATCCAGCATTTGAATCTCTCCCCGCCCCCACCCCCATACGCCCTTTTCCCTGCAGCATACGTTCAGTGCAGGGAGAACTCCTGGTTTTGTCACTGAGTGCCATCTACGGCTTCAGAGCTGCTGTTGTCATGTCTGAGGCTCTAACTAGACAGACAGGTGGGAAAGGGCGGGAGCCTGAGAAAGTACGCAGAGGAGGCACAAGTGAGGAGACCGTTAGAGCTCTGACATGATGACAGAGAGGACTGTGGTGATCCTGGCAACGCCTGTATGAACAGAGGCAGGGGATGAGGGATGAGGAGGGGAATCTGGGATGTGGCCTTTCAAGGCTCTTACCCGGACTTGATTGAGCAGCTTGACCTTCCTATAGAGGGCACTGTTGATGTCCTGCACATTGAAGAGAGGATCGTTCCAGATCTTAATAAGCAGGTCCTTGGAGAAATTGCTGACATAGTACTTGCTGAAGTCCCACTTGCGCAGAACCCGGCTGGGGATGACCATCTGGGCATTTTCATGGCAGCACTGACAGAAGTACTTGCCCAAGTACTCACAGTACCGCAGCCGCTTAATATAATCTGGAAAACCAGAAAGTCATAGGTCAGATGTGGCTTTCCCCTCTACAAGCCAGTGAGGCAGCCCTCTGGTTCCTTTTCAAAGAGCAGGAAGAGATGGCCACCCAGCTCCTTCCACCTCTGTATGAGCTCCCAAAGCTAGCAGAAACCCACGGAGTGGGGCCTGTGGTTTCTGTGTCCCCCTCCGAAGGCCACTGAGGAAGCAAACTTTGCCGGAGATGGTGAGATCCGACTTCCAAGAACCTGGCTTCTTCATTACACAATACTGGTAACGTGCCCCCAGAAATAACTTCCCTCTGATTGCCAGTGACCTTGCCTAGCCCTACCTTCCAGGTCCAGGCCCCTTCTTTCCCCTTCCCAGTTCTGCTCTGTTGCCTCCTCTCACTACCTCTCTGACCAGCCCCTCTCCCGAGTGTGTGAGATGGTTCAGCCGCTGGAGGCAGCATGGGGGTGGGAGAAGATGCTCACCAGGGTCAGTCCGAATGCCACACCCAGCACAGCGGTAATTCTGCTTGGCCACCGCGATCTTCCTCCTGAGGCGGGGGGAAGGAGGGGGCTTTGGCAGATACCAGCTACATGAGGCCTCTGCCATGTAAGGACAAGGAGGCAAACACAGGGTTCCTGTTCAGTATAGGAAGGGGGGGTAGCTCACCTATTGCGTTTTAGGAGTTGGACCAAACGAACCCATTGGGAGAACCAATTCAAACTGAGGATTACTAGGTTAAAATTTAGATCTAGGCAGGGACAGCCCCCAGTAATGAACCATACTCTCTGTACAAATGTAAGAGATGAGAAATAGGACAGAGGAAAGAACAAGAGGAAAGAAAAGCAACCATCCATCTTAAGAGAGGAAAAACCAGAAAGCTCACAAACTACTGGGAGGAAGGCAATAATTGGGAAGGCCAGTGATAAAAGACCTCATTTCTGGTTAGCTCTGGGAAGCAATAGGAGGAGCAGGAGTTAAGACTTGTGACCAGACGGGTAATCCCCTCTCTCTGCCATTAAGTGAACAGAATTGTGTGGGAGCTACAGGTGGAGGCAGAGACAAGAAGGTGAGGAGACAGCGCCGACAACCCAGAGGATGTATCCGTTTCCCAAAGGACACAAACACTGCCTACTCACGTTGGGGCTGGATGAACATTAAAAATGATCTGAGGCCGGGGTGGGGCCCACTCCAGGTTGCCACGAACACGAATCCGCAGCTTGTAGATGTCAGCGTGCTGCCCGTCATCTGGTGAGATGGGCAGTGAGTCAGGGATGGGCAGGAGCTGCAGGAGAAAAGCACAGGGGGATCTAACACAGATAGTCTGGGGGAACACATACTTGACCCTTTGGCCATCACAGAAACACAGTTAATGAAAGACGTTTCAAGAACACCTCAGGTAAAGGCTTTGAGGAACCCTGGCCCTCAAAACAAACCACTAAGGCACCAGGCTACTAGAAGTGAGGGCCTTGTGTTCCAAGAAGCAAAAGGAACAGAAACAGCATTTCAGTGTGGTGGCAACCATTGCTGATGCTGTCCCTGAACCCACCCCAGGGCCCTTATTATGCTATATGCAGCTGTAGAGCAAAGAAGAATATGAACAGTTCACTTTTTCACAGTGTCTCAAAGGTGGTCACAATACAGGACTTCCACCTCTGGGTCTAGTAAGCAGTCATGTGGAATAAGGAGAATGACGGAGCCATTATCTCCTGTTTTGACCATTGCTAGGGAAAACCCAGACAAGCATGTATTCATGCATTCATTCATTCATTCATTCATTTAACACATTTGTAACGAATGGCTTCTATGTGTAAGGAAGGAAACATATACACTCATTCTAGATGGGGGACATGTGACAAAGGAGAACAGCATCAGAAAGGCTCACAGCCTCCTGAGGCTGGACAACGGGTAGAGAAAAAATGCTGGAGGGGCGCCTGGGTGGCTCAGTCAGTTAAGCATCTGCCTTCGGCTCAGGTCATGATCCCAGGGTCCTGGGATCGAGTCTCACATCGGGCTCCCTGTTCAGCAGGGAGTCTGCTTCTCCCTCTCCCTCTGCCTGCCACTCCCCCTGTTTGTACTCTCTCTCTCTCTTTCTCTCTCTCGGTCAAATAAATAAAATCTTTAAAAAAAAGAAAAGAAAAGAAAAAAGCTGACGAAATCTACCTTCTGAGGGGCATCATGCTCTGGAACTAGCCATTCTAGCTCTGAGGCAGCGGGGAGCTGCATGCCTTCGAACTGCTTCAGGAGTCCCATGGCCACTGCCTCCGCAGATGTGGAGTGAAGGAAGCAGTGAGAGCTGGAAAGGAGATTCAAGGAAGGCTGAGCGCAGAGAAAAGACAGGAAGATGGAAGCCTTCCCTCCAGGATCTGATATTATACCCTGTGACTTCTGGGCTGAGAACACTCGCAGCACCCCTGGTCGGCTTGGCTTCTTTCCTCATCATCTTCAGACACACGCAGGGAGGAAAATATATTGATCTTATGGTCTGAAGACTTGGGCTCAAATCCCACTTAATAGCATTACATGGCACTGCTAGTAAGGGATTCTGTATCACTTCCCTTCTCTGAGCTTCAGTTTCTTTAACTGCAAAATGGGGGTTATAATAGCTGTTTACAAAATAAATGGAGTAAAACTGTCTTGTGAACAATAAAGGACTATTTGCTGCTCCCAAACGAGCTATTATTTCCCCTAGTTGGATCTACAATGTGAAACCGGTTCAATTAGATTTCATAATCAGAAATCATGATCACTGTTCTCTCTTTTGGGACCTGATCTTCTGGGGGCCTCTGGTATCAGAGTCAGCAGAGAAGGAACAATCCATACTGCGAGCTTTGCCTCCACCAGAGCCCACCCCGTTTAAACCAATGATCCCGGGGTCTTGCCACCATCAGGCAGGCCCATCACTTTAACTTTAACCTTGTCTCTTTGTGAATGTGGATGTTTCATCTATGGCCTTTCCCATCCAAATGCCAAGAACTAGGTTTGTTTCTCCACATACCCAAGGTTTTATTGAAAAAAAAAAAAAAAGTACTTACAAGGACTGGGAGGAAGTGAAGGATTTGCTGTTTGAGGCTGTGCTCCTTCTGATATCAGCATCTAAATGGAAACCAGAGATAAGGGGAGCAGGAAAGGGGAAGGGAGGAAGTGAGGGATAATAATGGAAACCATTCCAAGCTTTTGCCAGCTCAGCACTCAGGGTAGCAACTACAAGCTACATTCTATGCAGGATAAGGAGCAGAGACCAGCTGAAGCTCTACACATAATTTATAGTTTGGCTCTGTTCAAGCCACAATGAGGCTGAATTAGTGACATTATACACAGCACGGAGACGGTCAAAATGGCTACAAATCCACGTGGGAACACAAACTCAGATTTGGTGCAAAAAGTGAATGAGAAAAGGAAGCATCCTAAGGCACACAGGGACACACCCTCTATCAAGCAGAAACACAAAAAAATTACTCCAATCTCTCCCTCGTTCTCGAAATCTCAAGCCCTCTTAAATGATAAACTCTCAGAGGTAAGAACTCTTGTCTAGTTGGTTTTTTGTATTAAAATCAGACTTAACACAGAACTTGGATCACGGAGGTAACTCATTAAAATGTTATGTGGAACTGGAGCTTTGCTTCTAACACCTGACTACTATTGCTATTGCTTCTGAATGTGAAAAGTCTTCTATATCCTTATAAAAGCTTCATGGAAAGATTTCCTGTCTGTCTGGTGCAACGGGAAAGAACAGAACTTTTCTATGACTTGGCAGCTCCCTGGAGATGCCTGGTAAGCAACAAATGTTCATGGAGATACTCAACATGATCTTTTCTATAGAATTCTCACGCATAATTACAGGAAACTATGGCAGACTTTCCAAAGCCTATTTCTGCTAAAGGATTTTGAAGAGGATTTCTGATAATGATATGCCAGAACCTTCAAAGACCTGATCTTCCCAAATGTTTGATGGGGAAAATGTGAAATAGAGCACTCATGTTCAAGAAAGGCAGACAGAGTGTATTCAAGTCATGAAAACAAGACTGTTGTGATAAGTCTCATCCCTCATTTCCTTTGATGCCCACTGAAAAGACATTCCTTTCCTAATTAAAGCTACACAATGATCAATCTACTGCATCTGAGCCCCTCAACAGAGCACTAAAGCTTACATGACATCACTTGGCAATTGGCCATAAGTAGCTCAATTGTTCTTCACACTTCCTCTGTATATTTTTGTATGTGCCACTAGATCATAAAATCTCCTTGTGAGGAAATGAGAGCATGTCTAATTCTTCTGCTTGGCCCAAAATACTTAATACAGGGCTCTGTGTATTCAAATAATATTCCTAACAAATCAATGTTTTCAAAGCTATATACGCAAGAGAACAGAATAGATAGCTGTCAATGAATTTTCATATGCTCTCTAAGCAAGAAAAATTTAAGACAGCAACAAAATTTTTGCCTAGTAAATAGCAAATTCTATTTTATTTAACAAAAGTTCGCATATATCACATTTTCTGTCTGAATTTGTACCACCAAAATCCAGATCTTAATACATTGTTAGTTGCCTATTCCATTCTAAATAGTACTAGTGAAGAAAAAAAAATTCTAGGCAATAGTAGACCTTCACAGACCATTTGGTTTGTAGCATTTATATGAATAACACTTATACTGCCTTGGATTTGTATATAAGTCTTGTCTTGCCCTTATAACCCTGTTTTGTACATAATAGGTTTTCAGAAAATATTTCCTAAATAAACGATTAACTGGCTAAAAGCAAAAAGCAAATACCAGCCTGTTGGGAGTGATAGAAAAAAAATGAGAAAATCTTAGACAGATATCCTTGAATAAAGAGCTAACCAATGTTGCTACTGTAGGCCCAGGCTATTAAAGAAAATCCTGCACATCAGAGAGAAGTGGTGATAATTCACGGTTGCTAAGGAAACCGTTGTCTTCAAAAAACTATTTAGTAGTTCTTCAACCTCATGGAGAAGAAGTCATTTTCTCTTTGAGAGAAAAAAAAAAAATCATTCTCTGCTCTTTGGAAAACATAGTCCAGTCATATTTACCATGTTTTCTCTTTTTTACCAGAGGTGCGATGACTTCCTTGCTAATTGTGAATACTTCCAAGAGTGTGGAGGACCACACAGTTTTGGCTGTGACGATCTCACCCTGGGAGCAGAGAGGGAGAAGCAGCACCTGATATCGAAAGAGACATGCCACCTGACACTGGCCAAGTACAGTGAAGGCCCTGTGGGTACTGGGCCTCTTCTGCATTCTGCTGACTCTCCGGTCAGTTCAAGCATATAATTAAGTTAATGTGGTTGGAATACTAGTTGAGAATCTGGATAAAAGTAGACCAGGGTCTAAGACAAAAATTAGAGTAAAGAGAGAGGAGGAGGCCATTCAGTTGGATGGAAGTTAACATCATTGTGAAACTTTTAATTGATTCTTTGGCAAGTTATTTTTTCCTAAGAGAACTGATTTCAAATGCTTCTGATGCTTTAGATAAGGCTATCACTACTGACTGAAAATAATTCCAAAACAAAACAAAAATTTTAAAAATGACATGCTGTAAGAAGAATTTTTGCATGTCCAGGCACTGGTATTGGGATGATCAGGGAAGAACTGGTTAAAATCTCGGTACCATAGCAAAATCTGCAAATTTAAACAAGTGAGGCACAGGAAGAGAGTCGACTTCAGAATTTACGGACCAGTTCGACACTGGGTTTCCTTCCTGCTTTCCTTCTAGCAGATAAGGTGATACCCAACACATTTGGAGATCTAACTCCAGTGAATTTTCTGTAACTGCTGACTAGAGAGGAAACATTTTTAAATGGAGAATCACAATTACTCTGCTTTTTAAAAAAGAAAAAAAATTATATAAAAGGGCAGTGTGGGGAGAATCAACTGATTACCTTGAACTGGACATAATTTAAACCCTTGTCAGAAAACACAGTTTATGAACTTCTGTCTTTATATATTATCCCAGTTATCAATTTATTGCCTTTCAGCTCCAAACCTGCCCTTCTTTTTGTCTGCTCTATGATGATGGAGCCGGACTCATAAACAGTGGCCCTCTGCCAGACGGCACCATGTTAAGCTTTGTCAGTAGCGGGCACTGCAGGGACACTGGAGGAGGAAGGGGTTTCTCTTGCCGAGTCTGGAGTGCTCCTCTAGGCAGACTCCAGTATGTAGGGCATGTGACTTTCCCCTGAGGAAGCACACCTCCATGAAGGTGGCCTTTCAGCAGAGTACCACTAGCGGTACTTCTCATAAACAGCCTGCCCTGGCTCCTCCTGGGAAAGCTTCAGGCAAGTGCCACAGGCCTGGCACCTCCCAGGAACCACCTCCACCAGCAGCTCTTGTGTTCTGAGCATCTCAGCCCCTCCCTAGTGGCAGCCCCCGCCGGCGCCCCACAGAAGGGTTTCCTGACACTGTCGGCATGGTACCGCTCGTGGGCAGCATCCCCAGGCACTCTCTTAGGGCAGCTCTGCAGCCTTAGAGAACGTATCCAGCTCTAGTGAGCCAGGAGGTCTGGATCTCAGCCTTGGGGATGTGGCTATCTCCTACATTTGTTCCTTCCTGGGTGCTCTACCTCAGCCCCAGGGATGCTGACTGCTACCTGTATCTGCTATTCCTGTATTCTTTAGAGTTCTTTTTACTCCTTACGAGCCAGTCTCCCATTACTTCAGTCCCCCATGACAGTTAATAATTCTTTATTTAAAATTTTCCCTATTCAAATTACTCTGTGGTTTCTGTTTCCTGATTGGACCACGACTAGATACATGTATGTAGAAGACTGAAATTCTAGAAGAATCACCAAAGGAAGATAAAGAACAATTGATAAAGCTGTGATAAAAGGGAAAGGAGGGGGGGAGAACAACAAAACCCTAAAGCTAAAGAAGCTGAAAAGACAATCTGCAATTGGGAGCTTATGAATGATCTCACACCAGTTTGGCAGATACCATCAGAAGGAACTGATGAAATAAAAGAAGCCAGACACAAAAGATCACATGTTGTATGATCCATTTATATGAAATGTCCAGAAAAGGCAAATCTATAGAGGCCAAAAGCAGGTTAGCAGTGGACTGGGACTCAAGGTGGGAACAGAAATTAACTGTAAATGGGCACAAGTAATCTTACTGGGATGATAAAAATGTTCTAAAACTAGATTATGGTGACGGTTGCACAACTTGGCAAATTTACTAAAAATTACTGAAAGGAGTAGGTGTTGATGAATACAAAGCTTTCTATGAATAAGCTTTCTGTGATCACAAGGTTTATATCTACTACTTTATTGCTAGGAGGAAGTAATTTTTAAATCCTTTTCCTTCAGAAACACTTCTGTTCCATATGGTCTACTCAATAAATCAGGATCTAAGAAATGTGACTACATTAAGAGGAGTATTATACTATGCAGAGTATTCATCATAGATGATGTTTAAACCCTTAAATTTTTCCAAGGGTGTTATAGATCTTAATGACCTTCCTCTGATAGTATTCTCAGAGGTTCTTCAAGAGCATAAATCACTTAAGATGATCAAAAAGACACACATCTGTAAACCTCTGGATATAATTGGAAGACCGCTAATGAGAAGTATAATGACACTCTTTAGAAAGAATTTTGTACCATTAATAAACCAGAAACAGAAAGCAATAAAGAAGTCTAGAGTAAAGAAAGATGAAATGTAAATTATACTTTCATAAATAAGAATCTATATGTAGAAAGAAGGTAAAACAAGCCACTACTTTTGATAGAACTTGTTCTGATTGCTTTCCCTCTAACTCCCAAAACGTGCTAGGATTGTGGGTCACAAGAAAAAGCAGTTTTTTAGTTGAAAAATGTTTCATATACATATATAAATTTATAAATGTATAAAAATGTATAAAAAAATTTAAAGCTCCCAAAATGGGGTAAGAAAAGATGCCAGGAAGACCAAATAAAAGTCTGTCTTATGGTTAAGGCAAACTGAATATGCTCTGACAGACAAATGGCTGGCAGTCAATAAATGTACCCGCAAAAGGATTGTGGTTGTAAACACATAAGAAACCAGTTAAAAATGATAGGATAATTACATCTCAAGCAAGGGAAGACGATGTTAGAAAGAATTACAACTGTTTGGGAATAGAGAAAAAGGAACCTAAATACTTTTATTTCTTCAAATCTTTAGCTAATCTTACATAAGTATTTCAAATTCTAGTGGCTGATACCATTAACGGGTTAAAATGAACTGTTTAATAAAAAGTCCTGAGTTTTGCTGGTGTGTGTTTTAAAGCCACTTTGAGTAGAAAATTGCTACTTTCAGTTAATCCCATCTACAGAAAGCCTACTGGTTTGAATCATAAAGCAATTACTAAGGCCAAACAGTTGCAGCAGTAAATCCTAATGGCATACAAAATACCAAGAAGAGATAGCTTTCTGCAAACTGACCCTGCAAATTCAAAACTCTAAAGACACACTATGCTTTCACACCATTCTATCTGACTTCTGCGGTCTGAACGTGTAGCAGTAGCTTAGCGATTGGTTTGAACTAAAATCTCTTCACCTGACCATTGCTTTCTAAACTGTCTACTACCTCCATCAGCCACAATGACCACTCAGTCTATAAATATCACTGGAGGGAAGGGTCAACAAGGACAATCTCAGTGAAGAGGATTGTTGGGGGTCATATGAAGAAGAAAATGAGTATCTGAAATGTTCTTTGCTGGCTCAAGTCTGGTTTTTCCCAACTAGTTCTCTAAACATTATACACAGGTGTCACAAGATACAGAATGTACAAAAGCTGATGCAAACATTCACACACATGCATGTATGAGCACACTCACACTTCCAACACAGGCTACCTGAAAACATCGAGGCCATTGACACTGAGAGTCCGTTCTTTGACATGTGAGTCAGGTTAGATCCTTCGCTACCATCTGTGATAATGATTATAAAAGGGGGCCCTTTAGTATTCAGATAGGAAGTAAATCAATGAGAATGACAGTCCTATACCATATGTTCCTGGAATCAGGACTTGACTTTGCTCCAAAAGATGAACCGCTTTTAGGACGTTACATCCATAGGTAGGTACTCAATATGTCTTGGGACATAGTTATTGCTGCTTCCCCAAACCAGCCTGGCCTTAAAGATCTCAAAGGTAGTGGTTCTCAACGAGGGGAGATTTTGCACCCTTGTAGATATTTGGGTAAGAGGCTGAGGATGAAGCTAAACATTCTACAATGCATTGGACAGTCTGTTACAGCAAAGAATTACCTGGCCTAGAGGTTGAGAAACCCTCCCCCTAAGGTCTTTTCCTTTAAGGATTTCCATCCTGAGCTGACTAGAGTTAGTTGACTTAAACAGCTCCTCTGGGGCCACAAATGCAACAACAGTTTCCCCTAGGAATGCATTTCATGCCACCGCCAGGCAGGCTATTTCAGATTTGGCTCCTTCCAGACTGAACAGCCTCCCCTGGCTCCTTGCTTTGCTGCAAGGAACACTTAGTAGGCAAGTGGACTGCTCCACACACAATGAAGCAGTGTTCTGAATTTACCTTAATATTACCCTCATGAAGTTCTGTTGATCCGAGAGATAGGGCGGAACCCTTTTATTTTCTTCTAATTTGAAGATCAAGTCAATCAGATTGTGGTATAATAAATGATAGTTGGTCTGTGCCTAGTTTTGGGCATAGAGCTCCTAAAACCTTTGTAGTTTCCAGAGTGATAGGACTGTCTTTTGTTATTCATAAAGAGTCCCTTTCTGTTATATCTGAGTCACCTAATGAGGTGATGCTTAGGGAGCATCCAGTTAACTTCAGGATGGGGCTGGTTGCCAGAAGAAAAACCAACCACCAGATTAGAGGATTAGAATTTTTAGCCCCTCCCCCTATCACCCAAAAAGGGAGAGGGACTGCAGATTAAGTTCCATCACCAATGGCCAATGATTTAAGCACTCATGCCTACCTATGAAATGAAACCTTGATAAAACACTTATAATGGTGAGGTTTGGAGAGCTACCTGGTTGGTGAACATACTAACATACTGGCAGGATAGCCCACCCTGAGTGCATGGACACAGAGGTTCCTGGGCTCAGGAAACTTTGGGACCTTACCCTAAGTACCTCTTCATGTGACTGTTCATTTGTATCCTTTACAGTAAACGGTAATCTTAAGTGTAGTGTTTTCCTGAGTTCTGTAAGTCATTTTAGCAAATTATGGAATCTGAGTTGGGGGGGGTCATGGGAATCCCCTGGATTTGTAGTTGGTTGGGGAGAAAAGCAGGTAAGCTGGTGACCCCATTTGTGGTTGACATCTCCAATGGGAGCATCCTGTGGTACTGAGCCCTTAACCTGTGGGGTCTATGCTAACTCCAGGAGTTAATGTCAGAATTGAATTGTCAAAATACGCAGTTGGTGTCAGAGAACTGGAGAAATGTTGTTGGAAAACCACATACAAACAAACCAAAAAAATGGGGTTTTAAGTGGCAATTATTGCCGTGAATAGAAATCAGATATATTAAAGAGAACAAAGAAGGAAGATGTCCTAGAGACCTGGAAAAATATGTGTAAAAATTGTATTTCTGAATGGGGAAGAAATCCAGCAAGCACCAGGTTTCGATTACTATTGGAGGTCTGTGCAGGTGAAAAGTGAATTACATCAGTTCTCTAGATTGATATAAACAGATCTGTAAGAAAAGATCTATTCATCATCATCTTACAATGGAGAATTACAGATACAATTCACCTCTATAAGAAAATAACTTGTGGGGGAAAGCTTATGTCCCAGAACTGCTTTTTGGTTTGTTTGCTGCACTGATGGGGACTTGAAGAAATCTACGATTTGCAGGAATGGATTAATCCATTAATCATGGGTTAACCTGATTTAACACAACTGCCTTCCCAGATTAGAGCCCCTCCCCTTCTCTGTGCATACGCTTACAACAACAACAACGACAACGAGGGTCTGTGATTCTGCTAAGCAAGTGAACACGGATAGAACAGAATAAAGCTCTACTTTGTAAACTTCATTTTTTTTTTTCCTGTTTTGCTTTTCCCCCCAAATGACTCTTTTTGTCCTTTTCTCTTAGGATTATAACAAAGCTCCTTTGAAACAATTTTGAGTGTGTTATGGAACACAAGAGAATAGGATTCTAATTTCAAGCAGGTATGGGCCAGTCCTAGGCTGTGAGCAGGAGGAATTAGAGTGAAATCTAAGAGAAAGGTGCAACTGAGACCCATCCACGTGACTTCAGCAGCCAGACCACTCTGAAGCACTTCCTTTCAGTGTTCTTTTCTGCTTAAATTTTACTAAAGGGGTTTTGTTTTTAGCAAGAGAGGCCGTCTCTTACAATTACTGACAACGTTCCAAAATGGACCATATTGAAGATTCTCTATACTTAGGGAAAGCTTCTCAGTCTATGACTTCAAACGGAAAGAAACAGGTAATGAAAGTGGCCTGAAATAGTGTCGCTCCTTACCTTGGATTTCAAATTCATCAACCTCGTCAGCAGAGCCAGAGTCAGAGAACTGTGTTGAATCATGTGAACTAAACTGGGAGCTGCTAGAAGTGACCCGAAAACCTGCTATGTTTAAAGAAAAAAAGAAAGGTAATAAGCAGGACAGAAAGAGGTCACGTACTCCTAGGGTCACAATGAAAGGGACCTAGCAGGACTTCAACAGCAAAGTAAATAGAACCTTGGCTTGGAGTGATGCTGGGGGAAATGGAAACTAGCTCTTCTTGCCGGTTGTTCCCCATTTTATTCACGAAATTTTGAAAGTTTCACATAAACAGAAGGTACTACTATCTGGGAAGTGACGCTGGAACCAGCAGTCTTAGTTCTCATGCCAGAAACCTATTTTTTGGAAGCTATTTCTGAGGGAGGAAATGGATGAACTCTAGGACTCTGGGTCTGGTAGGAAAAAATTGGAACATAAAAAAATCTTTCTGACAACAGAGGAGCCCTTGGCTTCATCTCAAAGTGAGACAAAAAAGGAGGTGCCCGAGGCACCAAGTCTTCTCCTGAAGCCCTGCAGAAGCGGAACTAAGGTGCTCGCAGCCCCACTCACTTCCGTGCTCAGCCTCCTGGTACCCGGGGAGCAGGTTCTTGGTGCGGATCTGCTGGCGACGCAGGCGGATCTTCTGCTTCAATTCCTGGATCTCTCTATCGCTGTCTTCCTCCTCTTCTTCCTCCTCTTCTAGGCACTGGCTCATCATGTTGCACTTCATGAGCTCAATGGCAGCAATCAAGGACTCTGAGATGCTGAAGTGGGCGTTCTCCTGGGGGAAGGAGGGTACCAAAGAAGTTGACTCGCGAGGGGCTAGATGTGTTGAACCCCTCACTGATTGCTGGAAAGTAGAGCTACTAAGACATGCACTGCTTTTATTCACAACACTCAGGGAAACGAACACTTCTGCTCTCAGAAAAGCTGATGGCCAAAAAAACTGTTCTACATCCTCTTTGCTCTCAAACCTGCCATGCCTGGCCTTCCTGTCCCACTTTCTACATAAAACTATGATAGAGAAGAAGTCCAGAATTTAATATCAGGGTCTTACCTGATACCTATAGGGATATACAGATACCCCTGTAGACAAAGCATTAAGGTAAATGTAAGCTCTAAATGCTACAGGGACATTATTTATTACATATCTGAGCCTTAGAACAAAGTATAGAAGTTGATTCTGGAAATAGCTTTTACCTAAGGTTCCAGGGTCAAAGAAACAATAATGATGTGGCTAAAAGGCAATACTTCCGTGCCCAAGGCAGCTTCTAACACAAAACCAGTAATATTTTGGACTCAGTGAGGAGAAGATACTCCCTGAAAAGTTCTCTAGAGACTGAACTTGTTGAGCTTATCTTTACTCTGAACTTACTTTCACCCGTGGTCTTTGCTCATGTTCCTGCTGTGTACCCAAAACCTCTTTAGAACAAATGGCACCACAGACCCTCAGGCCAGATGTCCCAACTCATGAGCTCTTCAGTAGCTGCTTAGATTCCTCACCTTTTCCAGGTCTGCACAGCTTCCAAAGTCTTGCTCAGACAGGTAGCTGATGAGGGACTGTCCTTCCGATGGTCTTCGGAACATGCCCTCCCCTGAGCACAGGTACTGACCACCCTCTATGGGAAAACAGAATGTGGATGTGAAAAGCTCTGACTTGGAAAGGAAATCTGTAACAGACAATCTTCTTGAGAAGTCTGATGATTTTACCACTAGAGACACTCCCAAGTTCTCCCAGGTAACAGGTTGGAAAGAAGATGTCTACCTTCTAAAGGAATTTCTCTGAATCTCAGAATCCCTGAGTACTAAGCCTCTTGGTTAAAGAACAGGATAAATGAAGAGAGCCCAGAGACAATCCTTTCACCATCAAAATTTAAAGATGACATACTTGCCCTCCTACCCTACAAAAAAGGAAACAAAAAACCTGTGCTGAGAATCAGACAAGGGAACAAATAGCTTCCTCCTGTGGATGATTTCCATGTGTAGCTTATCTTCTGGTAATTCAGCCTCGACACTCAAAGCTTCTTTTCAAGGTCCCTCTCACCCACTCAGAGAGCCATTCCATCTGGAGCAACAGACAGTCATGGTGATAACACCCACAGTGTAAGAGAGGGTGGCACCCCTAAGTCAGAAAGGAGCAAAAGAAATGGCGGGACTGTGTGATTTCTAGCATGGGGGCTGTAAATGATGAAAGGAAGGGTGAGACTGTACGGTGTGTACCCTCCACGGAGCCGACGTGAGCCAGACAGCTCAGAGCTTAGCAGGCACAAGGGGAGAGCAGAGGAAGGACACAGCTGCAGCCCTGGCCTTCCTAGTACTCACCATACTCCATGTACAGAGAGCTGGGTGTGCTGACTTCACTGCTTGGGCCAGAGTAGGGCAAGGGGCCTCTCAACTTCGACTTATCATTGCAGGATTCTAGTGTCAGTGACCACCAGGGAGTAAAAACACACATACGAGATGAGCAACACATACATTCCCAACTTTGGAGTTTCCACATTTAACTGCTCCCATTCCCAATGCCCTCCCAAGCAGGAGAGAGGTGGCACACCAACAGGGAACAGTCCAAGAATGCAGGAACACATGGAGGAAAGGAGATGGGGAGTCGGTATAGTCTGAGAGGAAAAGAGAAAACATGACCCAGAATGCAGCAACACAAAGGTGAAAAAGAATCAAATCAAAATGGGCTCATGAATTTAGTTCTTTTTTCTTCCATCTTCTTACCAAATGTTCTAAGAATATTGGCCAATTTCCATCCTCTTGACAAGAACCAATGTAGAAAACAGTCCTCACATGGTAAAACAAAGATAGGCACACTGAAACTTTTCTGATACCATGACACTGGGCTTTTAAACAATCTCAGAATGGTTACACTGAACCTGAAATGAACCTGAAATGTGTCATACCTACATATTTAACCTGCTTCTGAGTTAGGTGAAAAACAAAATAAAATCCAGCAATTTCCTTAAAAGAAGCATCAAGACAATGCTCGAGAAGCCAAGGACGATGGCCCTATATCCAAAGGGCTCGGCCACAGGGCTCACACCCAGCCTTCCTGGAGATGGAAGGGAGAGGTTTCAAGAGAAGCCTGGCAAAGTAGGAAGTGGCTGGATAGAAGTTTTCAAGGAACAGTGAGAGTTAGGAGTAGAGAAACAGCAGCAGGCAGGGCTCGCAGGAAATGAGAAACTGATATTTTCCAAAGGAAAACACAAAATTCCCAGTGCTACCGAAGGAAGAGCAGGCAGAAAAGCAGGCGGGTGCCTGGGAAATGAGCAGGATGCTCGAGTGGATGACTGAGCGGCATCCAACCCATATCCCCCACACATGGTGCCAGCTTGTCAGCCGCTCCTCTCATTAAAAAAAATGCTACTATGTGGTAAGAGATAACTTTGTGTTTTCCTTGGGTCTCCAAGATTTCTGCTGGTCCTGGCAGTGGGCTCTCCTCCTCACTACCGAACGACAGACAAACCAGCAGTCACCACGATGCCTTGGTAAGAAACTATGACTTGGAGGGGATCTTTGAGGTCCCCAGTCAAATTTAGTGCACAACACAAACTCCAACACCAGCACCCTCTTCCTTAACAACACGTAAAGGCCATCCACCCAGGTTTTGCTTCCTGAGCTAACTACCTCCTGACGCTGCCCATTCAAATGAACAGCTCTACTGCTTAGATTTCCTCACACTCACTTGAGTCTTCTTACAATTTCTCATCTCCTGAAGAATAACAGTGCTCTTCCAAACAGTGGTCCTGTCAACTTCCTCCTCTTTAACCTTCCCTTTTCCAAGCTAACATACTCAGTGGCTTGCCCAGGAGGCCACAGCATTCAGTCCTCCCTCCCCAGTCAGTCGTGCAGACACACTCTACTACTAATACTGCCATGAACCCAGAACTGAACACAACATTTCATTTGAACACCACCATGAAAACCAAAGAAACAGACTTAAGTCACTAGAAAAAGGCTGTGAATGACTGGAATGGGGGTGGGATGGGACTTATAGAGGAAGGAAGTTAGGTGAAAGAAAAAGGAAACGGGACTCTGGGAGAGGCAGAAAACATGCATTCACATCCGAGACCACAGAAAGGGGAAAAAAATACATTCTGGTGTTAATTCAAGGAAAATAAAGTAATCCATAGTAAGTACTCAGTTATAAAAAAAAAAAAAATTCTGCCCCTGATTCATCATGATGCCTTAGACAAATAGTGGGCTTCGGTTTCACCTTTGGCCAAAACAGGATTGATAAATCTTGACTCTGCCTCCCAGAAGCTGTTGGGAGACTAAATGAGGCATCTGGAAGTCATGGGCAGAAAACACAGGATGCAAAATACCGGTGCCATTTTAGAGACAGGTCTAAGAATCGCAGCAGGATTAGCCAGCTTAGCCAGACTTGATTTGACACCAGAATGGAAAAGGAGGTTCTGAACTAAGCAAGACGGTCACAGAGAAGGAGGAGGCGGCAGACAGAAAGGACTGGCTCCCAAACCTGCAATGGGATCTTCAACTATAATGGTGATATTCCTGGGGCCTCCTGTACGTAGACAGACAGGTGCAGAGGAGAGTCCAAACAGAGGAAATGAGAATAGAGTGAGAAAAAGAGTGTCCTTTCATCTAGCAGCGGTGGGGACTTAACTCCCAGGAGGGAACCCCAGTGCTGAAGTACTCAGCTACTAAACTGAGGTAGCTGACTCATACGAGAAGCTACACACGACCCCCTCTCCCTCAGACCCTTTTGCTTAGGTTTTCTCTGGCTCCCCTTTCCAACGCAGGTTACCGTGGTTTCTGGAATCCATGTGGATTCGAGAATGGGGGCAGGGAAGTTTTCCATGCTCAAAGACCAGTGGCCTGGACTACAGCAGACAGCAGGTCTGCAGCAGATGTGAAGTGAGGAGCTAACCCATGTACTCTTCACATCTAAGAAAGCTTGTGGGAAGACAGGCTTTGATTTGGAGATTTTTTTTTTTCCTAGAGAGTTCCAATCAGGCAAACCACATCTTGAGTAGAAAACAGAAAAAAGTTTGTCACTCAGAAGTTTCAGATGAGGGCCTCAGCTCTCACCTTTCTAGAAATTACAATGAGAAATCAATGGCAGCTCCAGTTGCTAAAGGAAATCACCTTCTTTTCTTTTTTTTTTTTTAATGTTTTATATTTTATTTCTGGGGCTTTCCTACCCAGAACTGGCTTTGAGTGCAGAGATCCATGTTATACTTGCTGTTATGGAGGTTCTCCTACAAACGAAACCCAACCAAAGCCTGCCAGACACTAACAACCCATGACAGAAGATGGCAGGGAGATGGCAAAAGCAATGAGCCCCACCTCTCCCATGCCGAGGGTGCCCTCTACTAGCAGCTGGGGTTTGTGTGAGGAAGGGCTCAGTGGCCAGGGCCTCCTTACCGGGCTGCCTGGCAACCTGAAGTAGTGATGCAGCAGTCAGTCCCCCCTACTGGTTTCCTAGGTCACATCATCCCACACTCATATATCCTAGTTTTAATGAGGAAACCCCAATATCACTTTGCCTCTCTCATACTGGTATTACACCTGACCACACTTGTCAGGAATCACAGAAAGGGGAGGAATTCAATGGGGTTATTTTCAAAGCTCATGAGTATTTCCCCTCTGTCTGAGAGAAACATTAAAAACTCAAACTGTGACTAGTCACACTATCCTCTGATGATAAGGAACTGCTGAAAGAATCCAAGAAAACATTTACTATTTGGCAATGTATAAAGGAACAAACATAAATACTCTCAGAGAGATTTCCTGGGTATTCATATTACACTGTAAGCTTCCCTCTTTCTTCATAAGCAGGATACCCCGCCAGGTCATCAGAAAAGTAACTTGCTAAGCTGGGGCTGGTGACTGTCATTACCTGGGGCTCCTCTGGAGGCAATGTTGGTATCCGAATGGGAGCGAGTATGGCTCTTCTTTGTTCCACCGGTGGCAGTGAGGGTCTGCCCCTCCGAGAAGCTGGACCTGCGAAGGCCGCTGGACAGCTGGCCCTGCCCGCCTCCGTCCTGCTCGCCTCGGGGAGAAGCGGCAGAAGCCGGCTTCTGCGAGCCGCTGGAGGAGAACGAGTTGGAGGTGCTGCTCTCAGCTCTGCTGCCGTGGCTCTGACAGCTGGCGGGCCGGCCTTGGGGGTCCCGGCTGCCGATGGCCAAGTACTCGGGCCCCTCGCTGGCATCACTGGGGGAGTCATTCTGGCTGCTGACCCAGGATGCTTCTAGCGGGCTGGTCAGGGTGCTAGAGCTCATCTCATCTGGGGCTGAGGGGGGATCCCTGGCTAATGCCGAGACTGGAAGCAGGGGGGCTTGGAAGGCTTGATCCTGTGCTGGTGAGACGTGCTCTCTGCTCTCTTGGGGTTTTCGGGGAGGGCCAGAGAGTGAAAAGGAAGTAGATCTTCTTTCTAGGGTATAAAAAGAGGAGAAAAAGGTGAGCTGGAAATCTTTGGTACCTATGAAGGGCTTCTCTACAACTAACGACCAAACTCCCTATCATTACTGGGTGCCCGGGACACATGGTATCACCTCAGAAAAGGTACGCCATGTGAAGTAAGCAAAAATTGCTTAGAAGCAGGTAAGCCGGGTAAGGTAAGGTAAGAGCGTGGGCTCTTGACACAGTGGCTTCATCACTTACTAGTATACATTTCTCATCTGTAAAATGAGCAATAATAACAACACCTACTGCATAGGACTGTTCTGAGGATCAAATGAATACGTATAAATTGATTATAACAGAGCCTGGCACATGGCAGGCCCTCAGTAAGTGTTAACTATTATTATTCAAATGTCTTCTTGGCAATATGGATTAGGAATCCAGGCCAATCTAAAAACATCTCTCTCTCCTCTCTTACTTCCATGATTCTGCTGAATTATCTTAGGCTAGTTACTAGACAATTTTTTAAGATGTCCATTATTAAGACATAAAATTTGACAAACTGCACCAACCCATGGCTCTATCTATACCCTCCCGTGTGCACCCACAAAGTCCCCTACTTTCCAGGGCTGGGCATACATGTCATGACTACCCCCTTCCTGTCCCCATACCTGAGCCGTGGTTAGGGACGGACTGGTGGAGGCTAGAGAAGGACCCGAAGTAGGAATGTTGAGCATAGCTGGTTGAAGGGGTGTATGTGGATCCAGGCAGAGCTGTCAGGCTCTGGCTCTTGGTTACCAGCAGCGGGCTCTCATGCTTTCTGGCAAACTACAAAACAAACGTGTCAGAGCTGAGGACAGAGGACCTCGGAGGAGGAACATTCAGCACTACAGAAATGCTAGGAGAAGAGGACCTTTGGCAGCAGTTTTGGAACCGCAGCCAGGACCCGTAGATACGGCATACAGCTCTACTGCTCTATTAGAGCATACAATTTTGAAACCTTGAAGTCCTGCCATACACCACAGCTTCTGAAACTGGAATCCTAGGTGGGACACCAGGAGCGCTTTATCATAGAGGTAGTACAACAACGTTCTTAAGACTGTGCACCTAGTCAGAAATCAGATAGATCAGTATTCATATTCGGACCCTACCACTTACAAACTTGGAGCAAGTGACTTAGCTACTCTGTCCCTCAGCTGGCTTCCTTTATAAAACAAGACTGATGTCTACCTTACAGAGCTGTGAGAATTAAATGAGATGAGGCAGGTATTGTGCCTAGCACCAAGTCTGGCACATAGAAAGTATTTAATAGGTGGTAACTAAGAATCAAAATTTAAAAACCAAGAGAGATAGGGGATCTCTCCCGAAAAGGAGTAGGGACTGTGATTCCATTCTAGCTGAGGAACTGATATTAGTTAAGAGGTTGAATGAATTGGAGGGTTAACAATAAGCAATATCAAGCAACTAAATTTTCTTTATACTTCAAGGACGAAATGATCCTGTGTCACACTAGGTCATACTAGGTATGGCACTGTAAATCTTACTCCTGATTCAAAATCATCCTCTTCCCCCCAGCTTGTCAAGCCTACCCTTAAGGAAGAGCTTACTCAGACTATGGATTTTAAAAAGGGATTTTAAAAAACAGACACCTCCCAGGGTACCTGGGTGCTCAGTCTTTAAGCATCTGCCTTCGGCTCAGGTCATGATCCCAGGTCCTGGGATCGAGCCCAGCATCTGGCTCCCTGCTCAGCGGGAAGCCTGCTTCTCCCTGTCCCACTCCCTCTGCTTGTGTTCCCTCTCTCGCTGTGTCTCTCTCTGTCAAATAAATAAAATCTTTTAAAAAAAAAAAATAGACACCTCCCTCCTTAAATAGACCTTAAGCTTAGACTTTTTCCTTCAATAGGTACTTAATGGTACCTCCCCTTCTTCTCCAAGTATTTTTTCTTTTTTAATGAAAGCCTTTCAGTTCACAACTGCCTAAACAAAGAAACAGTGAGCTACCGAGGGTTATATCATGGTGAGGTCCGGGGGCCCAGCACAGACACAGATCATTCCTTGCCCCCTTACCATAGACGCATCGATCTGAGCCAGGAGGCGGGGGTTGTTCTGTTCCACCGCTTCCAGGCACTGGAGCATGGCCGTGACGTGGGCGTTGCTTAGCAGGAAAGCAGTATCTGGGGAGAGAAATGCTACAGCTGCGATGGAGCCCAACAGGGGGATCTTTGGCTTCCCTACACAGCCTGGGAGAGGCTCAGGGAAGGAAAGAGACAAAAAGTGAAAATGACGTGAGGAGAATCACACCACTGCAGAGAGAAGAGGAAGGAGGGACATGTAAGTATAGGAGAGGCTAGGTAATGCGCAGTATAAAAGAGAGGCCGTGACAAGAGGCTTCAAAGTCACAAAGTCCCAGATTTGAATCCTGGCTGGAGGTGACTTGGCCTCCTTGGGCTCTGCTTCCCCGAATGGAAAACAGGGGTATTAATACCCGGCTCTCAGGGCTGTTGGGAAGAGTATATGTGTAAACAGCACATAACAGTGACTGGCACATAAGAAACTCTTAGTAAACAGTGGTTATTCTTATCGGTTTGTACCCATGGGAGTAGGGGAAGACCTGAGCATCAAGTTGGACCGTGTTTTACTCATAAAGGAGAAGACTGGACGCATGCTTCGGATTAGAATCTCTATGGCACCGAGTGGAAGTCTGGAGCCCTGGGGTGAGAGTCTATAAAGGGAGAGTAAAGTGGAAGAGACGAAGAATTACATGCAACAATCCTGGCTAAGTGACCTCCACGTACCTGTGTAGAACTTTCTGATATACTGCCTGTCCCCGAGCAGGGGCCGGAGCTGGGCGGAGAGACAGTGGCACTGCAAGCTGTGCTGCAGCCACAACCCGGCAACGGCAGGCTCGCTCACGCCGTCGGCGCGGCTCTCGCCATTCTCGTGCAGGCTGATGAACTGCGAGGCAAGGAGGCATGGGTCAAAACACGCATCCTGGTAAAGACCGCAAGACTGGTGCCTAAGGACCCAAGAACTATATGGAGACAGGAAGAGGAGGCGATCAGAGGGGTTTTTTCCTCCAGGTGGCATCTAGAGGTTACTGAGGAAGGAGAGGGGAAGGGGGTTTAGGGGCCCCGCTGCTGGCCTAGACCACTGGAGAAGAACGACGCAGCTAAGACCTGATACGCAGCTCTAGGAGAGGACAACACTGACACCTTGGTCTCTTTATGTGCTGGCTCCAAAGAGACATCTAGCCTGCGGTACCGAGAGGAAGGATAAACTTGACCTCTTGGCTTCTCTCACAGAGTCCTCCATTTCGGTTGGTCTCCAGAAAACAATGCAACAAAAACCTGGGGGAAAGGATCTGGGAAGATGCCACCAAAGATTCTCCACCAAAGAGAAGCCATCTGAGCATCTCATTTTGGCTCTAGTCATAGCATTCTCTATTTGGAAGCTCCTTCTACTTGGCTGTTTCTAAAAGCAAGGTCTCATAGGCAGCTTCTAAGAAGAAACAACTACAGCAATATAGTTTAGAAAAGGAAGTTAGTTGGAGGTGAAGGGGAGTGGTGGTAAGAAAAATTATGAGAGAAGGACAAAGAGAGTCTATGTAAGAAAACCACTGGGCTCTGGATTTTTCTCACAAAAAAGGCCAGCCTGACACCTTATGATTTGGTTTCCTGATCATTTAAAAACAAATTACTTTTCCTGACATCATCTCAGCAATGAACCTGGCAGTGGGTGGGATATACATGAAACAAAACTAGCTAGATATTGACAAGTATTGAAGACAGGTGACAGATATTTCAGGGTTCATTACACTATTCTCTTTAATTTTGTATATATTTGAAATCTTCCATAATGAAGAGTTAAATAAATAGATACATACATTTGGCAGTGACTGATCTGGAACTAGCTGTGTAACTTTGGCCAAGTCACTAACCTCCATGAGCTGTTTCCCTGACTGGAAATCAGAGGTACTATATTGAACTAATAAGCATTCAGTCCTACTTCTCCAACCACTTCAGGGAACCTCTTGACATTTTCCCAGGATTTTGAACAGCTTCATTCTGGTCCTAACATGCAGATCTTTTGAAAATAACAAAACTTTTTCACCCCTTCCCCAGAAGACAGAAAGTAGCCTGGAGCAATGGGTTTAACACGGTTTATTTTTAAAAGCAAATAATCCTCCCCTCCAAATTAGTCCTACAGGAATAATTTCCTCAGTTAATAGGAAACTTGACACACACCATCCTTCTAGCCTAGGAGACTCTTCAGACAGAACATCAAACAACAAAGCCTTGTGGTTCCTTTTCCCTTCTTACCTTCTCCACATGAAGGGCTGAGTGGGGACTGAGCCAGCGGATGTCCTTCACAAACTGCCAGTAATCAGTCTGGCGGTAACACACCTGCTGTGGGAACACATAAGGTGAAGAAATCACTACCACTTTAGACCAAATCTAGTTCTGGTGTTGACATTCAAAGAGAGGAGGAAAAAAAGCCTAACCTTCCCTACCTCGACAAAGGTTCTCAGCAGCAATCAAAAGGACATATACACATGTTCACCCTTTTTAAGGATAATTGTTAAAAAATGGTTTCAGTTGTTCTTTTGAGCAGGTAATGCATGCATATGACATAGAAGGTTACACAATGAAAATAATCTGATTTCTCCCTCATCTCTCCACCATTCAGCCCCAAAAGGTAAATCTTAAAACTGGTGAAGAGTTTAAGTTATTTGTTAAAAATCAGAGATGTATGTCTTCAGTTCTTACTGCAAAATCAAGTAAGGAAAGACCTGCTTTTCCCCGTGCTACCCAGGTCAAGAAAGGGCTGTATTTAGAGTCAAAGAAATGATCAGTTCTAGATAAAATAGTCTCACACTGGAAAAGGCCTGAACTGGAGAAGGCAAATGTTTATACTAGGAAAATCTAATTCTTATTTTTTGAGAATCCTTTCTGAGATTACTGGGCACGGGTTAAAACTGAAATCTAAATAATTTAGAAGTACAGACGTAGCACAAGCATTAAGAGACAGACTAACCAACAGAACAAAATAAACAGCCTAGAAGGAGTCCTTAAATTGGAACTTAATATATGGCCCAAAAAGCATCTCAAATGTCAATGGGTTTCTCACCTAGACTGGTAAGGTAGAAGTGAGAATTAGAAGTGTCAGCTGTACAGGCTTTTTTGCCAACTGGAGTCATGAAGACCTTTAAGATCTTGGCAGCAGTGTGGCAGTGTTTCTGATCTCTGTTCTGTGGCTTAGTAGACACTGAGTGGCCAGGGATGGGCAGCAGTGGAATATCAACTCCAACATGTCTCCTGGTTAGTTACATCTATGTGAATAGGATCCAAACTTGGTTTCCTTTCTTTAGGCAAAATTCTAGGCTAACTCAGACATCAAATTAGGGACATCACTACAGATATCACGGACATTACAGAGGAATACTATAAACAACTCTATGCTCACTAGTGTGACAACCTAGGTGAAATAGACCGATTCCTTGAAAGATACGATCTGCCAAATAGTACCAGGAAGAAATAGATAATCTGAGTAGGCCTATACCTCCTAAGAAAAATGGAATCAACAATTAATAACTTTCCAAAACCAAAAGCACCAGGCCTAGATGGGTTCACTGGTGAATTCTACTAAACATTTATTTATACCAATTCCCTATAATGCCTTTAAGAAAACAGAAGCAGAGGAAAATACTTCCCCAAATCATTCTATGAGGCCAGCATTATCCTAACACCAAGACCAGAAAAAAACATCACAAGAAAACTATGGACCAATATCTCTCATGAACATAGATGCAAAAATCCTCAACAAAATATTAGCAAATCAAATCCAGCATTGTATAGAAATAATTGTACACCATAACCAAGCAGGATTTACACCAAGTATACAAGGCTGGTTCAACATTCCAAAATCAACACATCAAATCACATCAATGGAATGTGATGGAATTCATCACATCAACAGCCAAATAAGAAAAAAAAAATCACATGATCATATCAATAGATGCAGAAAAAGCATCTGACAAAACTCAACACCCATTCATAATAAAAACTCTCAGTAAACTAGGAATAGAGGGGAACTTCTTCAAATTGATAAAGAACATCTACAAAAACCTACAGCTATCATCATACTTAATGGTAAGAAGCTCAAAGCTTTCCCACTAAGATCGGGAACAAAGCAAAGATGTCTCCTCTTCCCACAACTTTTTAACATCTTACTGGAAGCCCTAGCTAATGCAATAAGGAGAAAAAAAAAAAAGAGAAAAGAAAAGGCATACAGATTGGGAAGGAAGAAATAAAACCGCTTTTGTTCACAGAGGACATACTCATCTAAGTAGAAAATTCTTAAAAATCAACAAAAAAGTTCCTGGAACTAGTAAGTGATTATAGCAACGTCATAGGATTCAAGGTTAATTTGAAAAACGAACCACTTTCCTATATATCAGCAATGAGCAAGTGGAATTTGAAAATAAAAACTCCCAAAAATGAAATACTTAGATATAAACCTAACACAAATATGTACAAGATCTACATGAGGAAAACTATAAAACACTGATGAAAGATAGCAAAGAACCAAATAAATACAGAGATAATCCATATTCATGGGTAGGAAGACTCAATATTGTCAAATGTCAGTTCTTCCCAACTTGATCTATAGATTCAATACAATCCAATCAAAATCCTAGCAAGTTATTTTTTGGATATCAATAAACTCATTGTTAGGTTTATATGGAGAAGCAAAAGACCCAGAATAGCTAAAACAATATTGAAAGACAAGAGCAAAGTTTCTCTTCAAAAACGACTGACACTATCTGACTTGAAGACTTACTATAAAGGCACAGTAATCAAGGCAATGTAGTATTGGGGAATAAATAGACATAGAGAGCAGTGAAACAGAATAGAGAGCTCAGAAACAGACACACATAAATAAAATCAACTAACCTTTGACAAGGGAGCAAAGGCAACACAATGGAGCAATTACAGTCTTTTCAACATGGTGCTGAAACACTGGACATCCACATGCAAAAAAAATGAATCTAGACACAGACCTTACACCTGTCACAAAAATTAAGTCAAAATGAGTCATAGACGTAAATGTAAAATGCAAAACTATAAATCTTCTAGAAGATAACATAGGAAGAAACCTAGATGACCTTGGGTATGGTGATGACTTTTCTGATACAAGACCAAAAGCATGATCCATGAAACAAAGAACTTGTAAGCTAGACTTCACTAAAATTAAACACTTCTGCTCTGTGACCAACAATGTCAAGAGAAAGAAAAGACAAACCACAAACTGGGAGAAAATATTTGCACAAGCCACATATGATAAAGGAATGTTATCCAAAATATATGAAGATGCAAATTAAAACAACACAGTACCACTATATACTTACATTAGAACGGCCAAAATACAAAACAATACCAACATTAAATGCCGATGAGGATGTGGAGCAAAAGGAACTCTCATTCATTGCTCGTGACAACGCAAAATGGTATAGCTACTTTGGAAGACAGTTCGGCAGTTTCTTACAAAACTAAATATACTCTTACCATAGGATCCAGCAATTACATTCCTTGGTATTTAACCAAAGGAGCTGAAAATTTACGCCCACACAGAAACTTCTATAAAAACTTGATGTCAAACTATGTAGAGGCAAGACAACTTTCAAAGTTAGAAGGAAAAAAAAACCTAAAAATGTAGGTTTTATACTAATATTACTGGATCTTTAACCTGCTAGTCCAGTATAAGGAAATTAAAACTGGAAGTCCTGTATCATGTATTATGGGTGCAATTTATTCAAGAAAGATGCTATGAAACTCCATCAGTGGATCCATACTCCCAGAAAAGGTTTTGGCC